ATCCCAAATAAGGTTAAGCTGCCACCCCGGCACATTTAATACTGATGAGGATCTAGGTTAGTAAATCAGCATGAGCCAGAGCTCAGGTTAAAGTTCTATCCTTAACCTATCCTGTGGGGATTAAGAACTACAGCACGTGTGGAAAACCAATTCATGCACACCATCCAGGGGCCAGCAATACTTGTGTAGGGTGCTGATAAAACAGAATTCTGGTCAGCCATAATAATGAACTTCTGGGGCGTCATCCTGTCTTTGCCTCTATCCTGTGCAATCCCAGTTAATTCAGTGTGGTTCAATAGAGAGTGAGGGCAGAAATGTGAACCGTCTTTTCTTAGGCTTATATCCTTGTATTAAATTTACAACTGTGTAAATCCAGAATAACTCCACTAAAGTAAACAAGAGCAAAATTTGGCTAATTTCTTTTTCAAATTTGGAACAAGTTTAAAAGTAATAGTCCAATTCCTTCATGCTATGAGGACTGTCAATAGATTTACTCTGGATTAACACATTTTGTTGGCATCCATGTAAACCTTGTTTTACGAGGAAGAAGGGATGTACTGAAAAAGTTTTTTTTTTCTTAAATGTGGCCCCGTATAAATGGGCCAAATTTTGGAAAAGCCTCTTTCGGAAGTAAATCGGAAAAAGATACGCAATTTGCGAACCACAGATTGCATTTCTTTTTCCAATTTATCTCTGTAGTGTAGACATAGCCTAAGTGTGGACACACACGTCATTGTCGTCATCATCATCCTAACATTTTCCATTATTTTGGTTTCTTTGCAACACCAAAAAGCAAATGTCACATTACAAACCAGTTGAAAAAGTTTCATCCTCAAATGTGACAATATTTAAGCAACAGGAGTGCAACCCCTTTCCCCTACCATATCATCGCCAACAAACACAAAAACCCACCACAACCTAAACTCCGCAAGTGTCCCTGCCCAAAATCTTACCTTGGCATACTTATTTGGTGGGTTTATTTTAAGTGTATTCTTGAACCCTCACAAACAGATTTTTAAATCAACTCATTGCACACTAACTTTCAGACTTGATTTTTTTTTTAAACAGGTGAATTATGCCCTTTCCCCAGCACCACAACTTAAGGGTTTACAATTGAAACACTGACAGCTCTTTAACTATGGTGATGTTTGCAGGCGCCACCATAATAAATAATGTGATGACGACTATTTAATGAGTCTTGATGTAATTACAGCTGGAGTCAGATTCACTGAACATCAATCTCACTATTGTTATCCAAAAGGAGGATGCATAGAAACCGCTCTGCTCCTAGCTCATCATTTCACTCCAAAGCTTAGAATTATTGTTTAAATTGGTAAAGAGAGAGTTTACCACCACAATCTAACCTCCTCATTTGTTTATTTTGGACCAAGTTTTTGTTCTGGCTCACATTACGCAGATGAATAAAGCTCAGATGGGTTTAGCTTTACTGTCCTGCTTTCCCTGAGCATTTCAGCATTTTTTAAATGCTACCAAATGGCTGGTTTTGGCTCTTTCTATTATCACGTGATGTCTGCAAGTATGGAAATAGTTATGGTAATGTGGATGTAAATCATAACTGTAAATACCACATAAAGAAGACTGATGTGTAATTATAAAAATACATAATAGATTTCTTTTTCAAAGACAACACAGCTGTCCCTTTTAACCTTTCATTTGTTGGTTCTTTTCTCTCCGGCTTTTATTCATAGATTGCTGGACAGGTTGACACAGTACATCGAGATTTTTGGTTCTATTTTTTTGTGAAAAAAGACATACTACTCATTTCATCATAGAGAGGCATTAGTTTACAATTTTAAAGAGAATCTAATGCCAGCTCTAGAACATCATCATGGAAACGATCTCTCTTTTAATGCATTTCAAAAGACTCTGTCAATGGCTATATGCCGCAATTTAAAATTAAACCTTGCCATTGAACTGAAGGAAAGGTCGGCCAAATGGCACATATCACTGGGAAAGAAGCCCCGTGTCTTGTTCTAAATATCTCTGTGTTGTTATGAAAAAGCACTGCAAGGGTTTTTATGCTGACCAGAACAAAATATGACTGACTCAGGGAAGAGCAGGTTGAAAAACATTCTGGGAAAACTTACACCACGCAACATACCATGCTAATGAAGGAGTAAAGCATTACATAGCACTAAAGTTGCCAAAAGGTTTTTAAAATATTGGCTAGAAACTGCCACTCTGTGTCTTATCCCTCTCCCACCAGTCTTTGAATGTTTCAAACTAAGCTATGCAAGCAGACATTAGCACTCTTTTGTGGTAAACTCACATGCTACTCCATCCTGCACAAACCTGCTCTTATCTCATTTTTATTATTGTAAGATTACATCAGTGATCAAACCTGAGGCTACAGACAATGCTGTTCATGTTAAAGAAAAATAAATAGTTATTTTGGGGATTGTGGAAAGCTTCTTGCACTCCCGTGTGTCCTAAATTGTGTCAATAATACAATAAAAAAACCTTGAGACTAAAGTCCATCCTCAACAACAAAAACAGTTTCTCTCCGAAACATTATAAACAATTGCTATGGCTCTATGTAGAACAATGCACACCACTCTGAATGGGTGAATTAAGCATAATTCCCTTTTGTACATAAAGGTAAAAGCAATGCATTAGAAAATGCTGGTGGGAAAGATCAGTTCAGAGCAGAAACATGTTAACTGCTTACTGATACAAAATTTTAATTGGCTAAAAAAATAATCTATAGCTGCTTTTTTTTAAATCAATCTAAACCAATTAGGCTTTGTCGAAAAGTATGCCATTTGATCAGATTTGTCACTGAATTGGGAGGCTGCCATGTCTGCCTCGGGTGACTGCAGGTTCAAACCAATTCGCCAGTGGATGGGATTCATCCCAAAACTTTCCTAGTTTGAAGGAACACATCATTTTTCATTACCAGCTAGAGCCTCATGTCAGCCAGGCCCCCGCTCCATTTATTCTGCTCAGAGAGTGAAGACCTACCTTACCCTTTCTGGTTCCCAATTGTTTCAAGTTTGGGAACACAGAATTTACCATAGGACAAAGCATTTAAAATGACAGTTGGTGTGATATGAGAGAACATTTGATGGGAAACAGTTTGACATCAGGCTGAGGTAGTTTCTACTGGCCCATTAAAGCATTGATATCTGGGAAGCCCAACTTTGTGTTATTACGTAAACATATATTTCAGCCTAGTGGGCAAAAATGATGCAAAGATACACACTCATTAAAAAAAAAAAAACCCAGCTCACAGAATGTGTGTCTGTCTGTCTCTCTTTTTGCATACCATAGTTACATTCCTTATACAGGACTGAAGTCATGGCTAACTAAATGGAAATTATACTGAAAAAAGCAAACAATTTGGCTTTCATTGTGGGGCAGACAGACTTCACTGCTTGCCTTTATTTTGCATTTGTGTTTGTGCTGAGAACATAAGGATTGCTGGACACACTGCATGCATTTTGCAGTTTCATCTAATAAATTATCTTCATATGATTTTATTCCCTTCATGGTTCTGGAGAAAATAGACATAGAGATAGAAAAAGGAGTTCCAATATAACATGTGGAAAGTGATAACGCTGTTTTAGAATCAATCAATAGGAAAGGCAGTTAGGGCTTGCCCAAACCCCAATGGAAAATGAGCTTGCAACAGTAATATTTAAAACATATTTATATATAATCAGTGTTAATTAGGCTTTATCATGGATTTTTCAGCTAGTGTAGATGCTGATCCAAGAACCCTGCAAAACAGGTTCCAAAATAAATCTGTGCACTAAATAGGCAATACATGCTTATGATGGACATTTTAAATGATAAAGTAAACCCCTCATTATTTTACCGACTTAGCTTTTTTATGTTGAGACAACGTGGATGACAATAAAAGGCTTTAGGAAACTGCTAGAATTTGGTTTTTCTTAAGCTTTAAGGACAAAGTCTGTAGTTCTGGTTATTCAGTACAGCCTGTTATTGCCTGGGAGAACTTTCCAAAAGTATTCCATCTGGTACACTATTCCACTTCTTCCAGCCAGCTGCTGCTGAGAAACTCAAATGAAAAATTCTGAAGTCATTACCAAAAAAGCCATGGGGCTGTACCAGCAGCAGAAGTAGAAATAACACACTGATTTCTTTTCTTCATAACACAGAGGAGTCAGAAGCATAAAACTACTGATTTAGTAAGGCAATAGATTTTTCAACATTTGGAATTGTTTCTCACACAAACCAACAGCAGTATTGTCATAGATATCCTTTATATATTATATATTTCCTGACCTACTATATATCGGATCTTTTGCTCCTAATTTAGATTATTACTATGAACCAAAACATCTCAGTCCAAGAAGCTAAAAGTCTAAGTAAATCAGTTCTCCAAGATCACAGCATTATATATGTCTATGTTGCTATGATAACGTTTTTTCAAAGTAGGTGGTGGTGGTAATTCATCTTTGTATCATTTTGACTTTTAATTTTTGTTAGAGACACTGTGATTTATCAAGAACAGTCATTAAAGTGCTCCCCCCTTACATAGTTTTAAAAAAACACCTGCATTAAAAACTTGAGGGAGATACACCAATGGATATCCTTGATTACAGATAGATTTTGTCTCAAATGTTAAAATGAGCTGGAGTGGAGAATGTCTGCTATGATAAAAGTGAGATATCAACTGTTGCTATTTACAAATGGTTCTGATAATGGCCCCTCTAGTATCTTTAATATACTAATTTGGGTCTGACAGACACCTTGTCACTATCAGACTTATTTGACTTGCTTTTAACATGAAAATATCTTGAAATCAAAAATCAAGTTTGCATGTCAGTTAAATGGTTAAAAATCCTAACAAAATATGTCTGTAACTTTGTCAAATCCCTTACAAAATTAGGATATTTTTCTTTATTATGGTGCTCCATAGTTTTAAAGTAAATCACACAAAGATATTATCTTGTAGCCCTGTAGATCAGATATCATTAGCCAGAGGAAAAAAAAACAACCTTTCATACACTTACCTTATCCTCTAACCGGATCAGTCTGGCTCCTACAGTATAGTATCCTTTGTCTAACCCTTTTTCTAAAAGAAAAAAAATTGTGACATTCATTAGACAAAGAATAAGCAGAAACTAAGAAGTATATTTAATGGGATTTAAAGCAAAATACAACCTAGTAAAAATCTGGGGGGTGATATTGGCAATATGAGTTCAACAAGTAATTATTATTTCATAGATGGTATGAGTGAAAGAGGGACTGGTGTACATGTGTCTATATGTACCACTTACACAACATATGTGCATAACTATACAGTCATACATATTTTTGTATAGGAACAAATAATATATTTTCACATTTATAAAGGTGAGAAGCAGTATAATCTAGCAGAAAAGAATTCTGGAGACCTGACTTCTATTTCCAGCTGACCTGCTGTATGACATGAGGCAAGTCATTATACTTCTTTTTACCTCCCATTTCCCTTCCAACATTTTTCTATCTAGCCTATTAAAGTCTTGATCCTGAATTGAAGGATTGGCTGCTAAAAGTGGAAACTGTTCTAAGCAGGGCTTGTCTCTTGTGTTTGTACAGTATCCAGCACAATGGGGCCACAAATCGTGGCTGGAACCTCTAAGCGCTATAGTCCCAGACGATCAGAAATAATAAATATTATATTATGAGCTGCAAAAAATATTCATGGTGGGTAAAAACATCAAATGAATCCAACATCTGTTCTGGATTGGCTAAATCTACAGTGACCACTGGCAGCCCCCCAAGAATACAGGACATCTTTTCCCCAACCTGCCTGAGCCCTCCTCCACCTGCTTCACTCCACAGAGAAGTGCTGCTCCATCCCCATCCCTGCTCCCACCCTCCTGCATCCACAGACACTTCTTGCCTTGCCTTATCACCAGGCAAAGTGGTAAGTCAATATCGGATAAGGATAGTTCCCCATGAACATAAGACTGGACAAATGGACTCCCTAGCTAGGCATATTTATTTTTATCTCAGCTCAGAGGGCTGGACTAGATGTTTGGAGGCATTCTGTGGCCAGAATGGCTTGGTTGAACCAGAGATTAGTACTATTTGGACAATTCATTAGTTTAAGGACTCATAAACCTCTGAAATTTGAAGAAACAGATTCAAGGATCCTGGTTTGGCTCACCTCTATCAAAAGTGGAATAATGTGAAGGTTTGATAGGTACACAGCTGCATGTACATAAATTGCAAGTACGTAGAATCCCAACATTCCCCCAACATGTGTCTTAGGACAAATATATATGTTTTGTAATTCTGCGCGTCGCAATCTCTTGAGGGTGCAATTGAATAGAAGAGGGGAGATCAAAGCTCTATAATCTCAAATCTTAACTATCTACCCATCACAGGTAGGCAAGATTCCATTTTTTAATCATTTTTACATAGTAATTGCTTTATGGTAGAATTGCACATGACCATCTTCAGAGGCACAAGTCAACAGACGATAAGAAAATTTCACACAGCTTTCAGACCAGATGAAATCCAGAGGCAGAGATGTTATGTTCATTTCTAACTTTCAGAAGGGAACTCAGGGTTTAGAGTTCCCTTGCACATAGAGATGGTCGAAAATTTTCCCTCAAAACCTGTTTTTGGATGGAAGAGAGTCTTCTGTTGAAACAGGAATTTTATGTCAACAACAGATTTTGGATTTTAATTGAAAAAAAATCTCACAGATTTTGGCAATTAACATAATTTTTGGTGGGTGTTGAGCCCATTTTTCCAGTTTTTACTTGCTGAAATCTCACAAAAATATTTTGTCAGGGTTTTTTTTTTTTTTTTTGCAAATCTCCAAAAAATCTGAAGAAAACTTTTGATCAAAATTAATTACAAAATGTGTTGAATATTTTCCTGGGAAAATAATTTCCTAACAAGCTCATATATGTACAAGCTACCCAGTTAATATCTCTCTCTTTAACAACTTTGGTACACTATATAGGAGAAAAAACTAGAAAACAGGAGCTGATTAGGCAAATGATTGGACTGCAGCTATTTTGGGGCATGTGGCATTCCTTTCAAGTGAGGTGAAAGACATGTCATGCAATGCTCAGTCAGCTGTGGCATGGCTTTCACTTTATTGACATGCATGCTATATATGTCACAGAAGTCTGCAATCTTTCCTGCTTCTGGTAAGCTTCCATTTAGTTAGGTATTCAGCTGTAATTTATAAGTGTTGCCTTCCAATAAATGCTGCAGCCTTTTCAGAAAAGTAAACTGGGTGTGTAGTCAGTCTGGGAAGCTTTGTGGCAGAAGAATGGGCACTAGCTCAAATAACACTGTTCTAATCTTTTCCATTTCAGTCATGTTTTTACAGTCTTTTCAAAATACAGTACTGCATCTCCCCATTCCTTCTTCTGCATACTACTTTTTAAATGTTTTTTGAAGTTACAGACTAACATGGCTACCCCTCTGAAGACTTCTGCATACTAAATGATTTGTCTTTGTATACAGTAGGAAAAGGTTGGACTGACAACCGAAAATCCAAAAATTCCTAACTTTTGTGTTTTTTCACTTTGTAACTAAGTAGCATTCTTGTAACATTGGGTTGGTTCTTGCATTTTTTTTGTGATATATGGCTATATTGAACACCCAAGATATTGATCGTCTACAAATATATATATGAAGTGTATAAACACATGCAAAAAGGGAGAGGGTGTTATCATTATGAAGACAGGAGTATAATTAGGTATAATGGCATGAAATTACATAAGGAAAAATTATGCTAAATATCAGGAAATACTTCCCAATGCTAGTCAGTATCAGAGAGTGGTATAATCTTCCCAGAAATATGACAGATGCCTATCACTTATGCTATTTACATTTAAACTAAAACACTGGTAGATGTATAATGGAAGCATCCTGCACTATCAGGTTGACAGAGATTATGTTTTAAGGAGTCATCCAGTCCATCTGAAAACTTTATCATTATAAATTGCTGTCTCTTGATGTGGCCTTCCTGCCTCTCTACCATACATACAATACTTGCTTCAAAAACAAATGTAAGTTAACATTTCCAGAAATGTTTGCTAATCTGAGGTACTGTCATGTTTTAGTGCACAACTTGAGATGCCTTGCTCCTGACTTTTAGAAGCGCAAACCAGTCAGAGCTTCCACTAATTGCAAGCAGGACAAGAAATCTGAAGTTGTTCGCCAAAATACTGAGCAGATAAAAATCACTCAAACACCTTTGAAACATATGTTGTAAGGAAGAGAAAAAGAACATGCAAAATAGGAGATAACTGTTTTAGTTTTCTACTAAGCCATATCACATCAGAACACAATGTACAATAATATTAAACCAGGTTTGTTTCTTTTATTAGCAAGAAAAAATAATTATGGGTAGTATCTAAGTAAGTGGACTCCTGCTAAACTTCCTGAAAATTATTTGAGCTAGAATTGATCTGTTACATTTTTACAGGGCAAGAGATCTCCCTCAATTTTTAGCACATCTCAAATGACTGTGTGTTATAGCTTTCCCCCAAAATCTATGTTGAAGTATTTTTCTGAAGATAGAGAATAGAGTATTTGAGCTTGGTGACCTTAGAATAGCTCAGACAGAAAAAAAGGCACCTAAAAATTCAGGAAAATATATGAAGCACAGCACACTCCTGAAGATCACTGGGAGTGAAATGGGTAGTAGAAAATACCACACTTTTCTGTCTTCTTGAAAGTTATTTAAGTCTTCTGGGTGCATAGTTAGGTTCTGATACTGCAAATAATTATTCTTTTGTGCCTGGGATTTCTAATATAATAGATGAAAAAGTTATCTAGAGCTTGGTGATGAGAACAATTGGGACATAATTTAAGTAGTCTTGACCCCTTCAAGTGAGAGGCAGCAGAGAAGTATACTGGATTTTGTTTCATAGCTGCACTGTATTTCTGCACCTTCTCCAGAATGTGCAGAGGCGAGTACTTGGCCACGAAGTCATAACAATGTTTATAAAATAATTATGAAACTAATTTAATATGAAATACGGAAGTATCCTTAGTGACTGTTTAAAGGGGGTGAAATTTGACCATGTGTGGGGAGGGCCAAGATTAGCGGTACACAGACTCCCACCAAGCTCTGAAAACGGGATTTAAGTGGTGCATAGCTATAGTTTCCTCAAGGAAACTAATTTCACTCCGAAATGAAAAGCAAATTCAGAGGCAAGATAGAGAACAGTCTTTATCAATTTAAAATGAAGTCTGCTTAGAAGGCTTTTTTTAACCGTCCTGGCAGATTTCTTTTTTTCACCTTCCTCATCTGTATCAAGCATAGGGTAAAACAGTACTTTAAAAAAATACTGATGCCCACATTCCCATATATTAACCCATTTTAAAAGCCCAATTGATCTGAACACATTTATTAAGTTTCTGGAAGATTCTTCTTCCCCACTTGCAGGTACAGGCTGGAAACAGAATGACATGAAATAAGAAACTCTTGCTAAGTCCATGCAAAAGCAAAAAGAAGTGCCAAAAATCTCACAAGAAAGCCTGTTTCTGGTGAGATATCCAGCTGTGTTGCACACATACAGGAGGATCCAATAAAACACCAACCCTTGGGATATTTACCTGAACCCAAACATGGAATTTTTTATGGCATTATTCTTCTCCTGCACTCCTCAGTGGACTTGGGAATTCTCTGAAGTTGCATTCAAAACCACTGAACTTCATTGTGTGCCAAAGGCTGCTTGTTACTATTTTACTATTTGTAGCATCTCATGGGGGCTTGACAGTTTTGTTTAGTAAATATTACTACACATCCAATTTCACTTTGAAAATGGGACTTAGGCACTTTTGAAAATTTGACTGTGACACTTCACCCCCATATTTTAATGGAAATACATTTTTGAATATGACTATGTGTAACCCACATACTTTCTGGGTGTGGTTCTCTGTCCCATGTAGCAGCACTTAGACCACTCAGGATCTGTCCAGACTGTAGGATTCTTTTGGAAGAAGCTTTTCTGGAAGAGATCTTCCGAAAAAACTTCTTCCGAAAGAGAGCGTCCACACTGCCAAAGCCTCCAATCAGTGTGGACACTCTCTCGCATATAAGGCCACCCGGAA